TTACACTCAGAGCAGAGACACAAACGATTCAGGAGACCAGAACCAGAACCCAAACCCGGGAACCAGAGGTTCTGCAGAGAAGGTGGTGCTGAAGGTGTGTAGGTGGATCAGAGAGTCTGAGGAGACTCTGTAGAAGCTCAGAGAGCCGGCAGGACGGTCCAGATACACTGCTACTCTGTTAGGGGAGGAGGGGGAGGAAAGGGAGGAGGGGATACGTATTTCTCTGTTGTTGTGCCAAACAGAGTAACCAGAAACATCTGAACAGCTCAGAGTCCAGGACTGAGTATTCCCTCCAAACACGCAGTCTTGGATATATCCTCTTCTCCTGATGCTTCTGTAACTCACTGATACAGAAACTCCTCCTCTCCACTCCACCTCCCAGTAGCAGCGGCCGGTCAGGTCCTCCTCACACAGCAGCTGTTGACACCAGTCATCAAACCTGTCTGGATGATCAGGATATTGCTGCCGCTGCTTGTTTGTCACCTTCCTGTTGTTGTCAGACAGCTTCAGGTCTCTGTTCACCGTGTTGGTGTCGACTGTGAGCCGACAGGAGTCTGATGGAGAGAACAAACACTGATCAGCATTATTTCCCTCTGATCGATGAGGGCAGACGGCTGGATGTCAGGAACCAGAGAAGAACACACTCACACTTCCTCAGACCTGGTGTCAGCCATCGTTCTCCAGCAGGCTCCACCCTGAAAGGACGAGGGGGGTCAGAGCAGCACGGACACATTAGATGATGGAGCTCCAGGCTCCTCCATACCTGAGAGTCTCCAGTCTGGAGTTGGGCGCCCTCATAGCCGCCTGCAGCCGCTCCAGCCCTGAAGCTCCTGGATGGTTGTAGCTCAGGTCCAGCTCTCTCAGGTGGGACGGGTTGGAGGTCAGAGCTGAGGCCAGAGCAGCACAGCCGTCCCCTGAGACCAGGCAACCGGACAGGCTGCAGAAAGGAAGGGTTGGTTACTAAACCACCTGATGACCATTCAAAGAGGTTTAAACTATATTTACATACAGTCACTACAGTTCAGTTTCAAATCTGTTAGAACCTGTCAGAATTAAAATTACAGACATCCATGAACCTGATCTCCACTAATGTTTTAAGGCCAAAATATGTAGAAACTGCCCTAATGAGCTATTTTCACATCAGTAACATGCAGTAGTTTTCCTGACCTGAGACCCTCCAGCCTGAAGTTTTGACTCTTCAGCCCCTCAGAGAGCTGCTTCACCCCTGAATCCTGCAGGTCGTTGTTGCTCAGGTCCAGATGTGTCAGACTGGAGGACTCTGAGCTGAGAACTGAGGACAGAGCTTCACAGCTGCTCTCTGACAGGTTACAGCCGCTCAGTCTGAGGAGGGACCACAGAAGAACAATGACTATCTTTTTTCTTAATGTACATTTGACTTCTTTAACTTCAGCTGACTTTATCAGAAACACACTACGTGGACTCACACAGCTTTGCTGGAGGCTTTGAGCACCGGCAGCAGCCTCAGCAGAGCCTCCTCTGAGGACGAGTACTTCCTCAGGTCAAACACATCCAGATGTTCCTGTGATGACAGTAAGATGAAGACCAGAGCCGACCACTGAGCAGGAGACAGTCTATCTGTGGAGAGACTTCCTGAACTTAAGGACTTTTGGATCTCCTCCACCAGAGAACCTTCGTTCAGCTCATTCAGACAGTGGAACAGGTTGATGCTTCTCTCTACAGACAGATCCTCAGTGAGCTTCGTCTTGATGAACTGGACTGTTTTCTGATTGGTCTGTGAGCTGCTTCCTGTCTGAGTCATCAGGCCCTGGAGGAGC